TGGTACCACGTACATGAATGTGACATATAAAAAAATATGTTGATAATTGTCAATTGTCAAAATAGTCAATATACAAATTCTACGTCAATCTCAAAAAATTGGTTCTGCACAGAACACATTCCATTTGTAAATCAAAGAATATCAAACGAAACCTTTGCCATTATCTGTGCCTATATTTAAAGCCCTTTTCTCGATCGTATTTGAGAGTAATCGTAGAACATACTCACGTAGCTCATTTCCTTAGTAATGGAGTTATATTCCGCGGCGCAATTTTCAATTTCCTAAACTCTTTCTGCATTATATCCGGTTTTCGCACCGGCTGCGTTCGTTTTTGAGATTTTCTCTCGTTAAACCCGCTAACGAGCATAAATTTTACTGTTTAACAATTTTTAGCTTTTTTGACATTTTTAACTGTATGTTTTCCATGTCTTTTTTATACGTATATTATATACTTACACTCGCATATTAGATTTTATTAGCAAAACGTATAATTGGTGTAGTGCTATTAAAATCAAAAATTTAATACAATAAATTTTAATTGAACTATAGTGAGTTTTATAAAGTAACGAAGTATACGGTTTTGGATGTTTTTGCTTACGTCTTATTAATCTGTATATTCCCTTCTGGCTTGCAACAAATAATATTCAGTAGTATTTTCACCTACTAATACCGAACCTAATATTTATTAATTTAGCCGAGAATCAAACATAAAACTTGTTAACTAACAAGTTTTTATGTCGTGAGACTACACGACATGTGCTTCACCATAGAGGCTGTAACTGTTACATTTTTATAAATATGTAGTAAATAAGTATTAGTATGTTACCAAGCTTATATCACATGAACGGATCTTGCAAAGTGGGGAAAGAATTAAAAAATGAGATAGACTTGATAAAATGTAACATTGGTACATCTGATATATTTTTCTATGACACGTCTATGTGTTACAAAGGTGACTTACCCTTGTCTGAATAATTTGTAAAAATATTTGAATAACCTTACTTTTTGTATTTATTTAATCTTTGAACAATAGCCTTAGGAGATGACTGAATTTCCCTTGTTGCTCGTTTAGGTACATTGTGTAAATATTGTGTTTGTTTCTTTCAAAGTAATCGGTTTGTTCACCGCTGTAGCGGTCTTTGTGGCAGGTCAGTTACGAGTTGGAAATAAAAAAGTTTTTTTTAAACTAACAGAATCTAAATTGTAAAAAGAATTTGACATACAATCGCGTGTCCTCCCTCCCTTGGGGTTTTTTATATGTGCAAATTACTGTTTTTACTACATCTTAATATATATATTTCTTGTGTGCGTGTGTATGTGACTGAACTCCTCCTAAACGACTGGACCGATTTTGATGAAATTTTTTGTGTGTGTTCAAGGGGATCTGGGAATGGTTTAGATTCACAAATCAGCCCGGCAGATGGCACTGCAGTCGGTACTTTCATACTTTGCTTAATATCCTAATCGCTTTAAATATCATGCAGGACAACGTCCTGTGGGGTCCACTAGTATTATATATTTTTCTATGGAAGTTATGTTGTCAATTAAATATCTTTCAAAATAAAGTAGTGACGACTAGTAATTTAGATAAATACTAGTTGTAATTGACATTTTATTTTATGTGAGTACAGAATTAAGTAATTATCAGTTCTTCAAAGATCAATTTCAGGAATATCGTACCACCAAGAAGCTTCCATATTTTAATACTTAGTAGCATGTATTCTTAGAACTTAGAAAAAGTCTATTTTATTCTTTTATCATGATAATCATAAATAAATAAAAAACTACCTTAATTAATACGCTATTTTGTTTAATTTAAATAAAGTCAATATCTTAAAACGTATAAATGGCGCCAAAGCATAGCCACAGATTAGTAATACGAATCTGTCATTGATAATTGAAATGGCGCGAAATAAAAATTACCTGTGTAAGTTTTTGGAAGTGACATTTGATTTGTGTCGTAATATCTGTGGTGTAGTGATCTTAAAACTGTTTATATTTTCTATATAAAGCATTTTAAGTACATAATTGCAGTACATGACACAATTGTGCTTATTTTATAATTTGAATATTGTGACGTATTATTATTAGGAAACTACATTAAAAACTGATCCTGCGGTGATGTTTACACCAGTTACTCATGCCGTTTGCCTGACAAATGTAACTGCAATATGGCTTTTCGTTCAAATGGACGTGTTTTACGAGTGCGTCATTGTGACATATAGACTTGTTTTGTGCGAAGATATGAGCGTTAAAAGGAATTCGCTTTGGAACAACATTGTTTTGGTTGTTACAATTATTTGGTGCTGCGAAACGGTTGCGAATAAATGTTGGTAGATTTTGTTCAATCTATCATGTATCTTTATCTGTTAATAATTTATAATACAGTAACAATCTCTTCTGTGCCTCCAATACAATGATTGCTTGGCCAGATGCAAACCGAGGACGTTGTTTAGCAGCTAAGTGCTAACACGGGTGCGGTTCTTAGATTGATAGTATTCTACTTATTTCTAGTCACAAATAATTTGTTTGTAATGTTTATGTGTGCATTTTAATGTCTATGACTACAATCCTCTTTTGTTATTCCTAAAATCCATGTGCACAATAAAAAAAGAAATTATGCGCAATAGTATATAGTGCAGTGAAAAAAGTGTTCGCTAACAACACGCGTTGTGGAAAAAAATCAGAAAAAGCAATTTTTAAAACTCCCGGAAAAATGTTCAGGTACAACTAACAAATGACACTTATATAATTGTATTTATAATTTGCATTTCATATATTTAAAACTCTGACACGCGACGAATTATATGTAAAAGTGTAATAACAGTAGTAAGTATTACTTTTTGCCCATTCTTAAAAGACCAGCAACGCACTTGCGAGCCTTCTGGCAATGTGATTGTCAGGTGGTAGGTGGCTGCCCTCTAGCCCCGATATATTAAAAATAATATTAACGCATTTTATCTAAATTCACTTACATATTAAAACGCGAAACTAAAGGCGGAAACATACTACCAAAACGCGACGCTACACCACGCCATCCGACGCATGTCAGTACTTATCAATCCAATATATTTAATATGGTCAGATGCACATAGACAACACGCCATGTGATCACACGCGGTAACATCCAATCGATTTGGATCGGCGTGTTGTCGTGTTGTTGACGCCAAGCGTCAAACGTTCGAGTTTTTGGCACAAATGTCAATTGTCAGCTAAATGACTTCTGAATTTGCAAGTGTGTCGTGGTGTCGCGTGTTGGTAATGTGCACGATGGACATCGGGTGTCGACACGTTGCGTCGCGTGGCGTTTTAGTAGTATGTTTCCACCTTAAAACACGAACTATGGACAATCGCTAATGTTTCATGTCAAAAATCGACTGCTTTATTTGTCAAGATAGATCGTTGAATGAATAGGCATAGAGTATTAATAGTATAAGATCCCGCTATACAACGACCTTCACCGAGATGCTTATTTAATGAAACTTATTTTATATTTAATTTAATATGTCAATAAATATAATCCATGTGGGTTGCCTAGCAAATTTCAGTCCAGAGTATGTTTAATTAATATTAAAAAAAAAAATTTTTTTTTATAATTTGCATGTAGTAAATTTTTTGAACTTTTTTCAATCAATATTTTTAATCAGGGTAGTATTATATATGTATCACTATAACCTTCTTTTATACTAAAGATGTATATATACTTTAGTGTCACATAAAAAATATACACATAAATAATTAATTGATTAAAAACAACCTAACGTTTGCATATTCTATGGGCTTCATACTTTCGATTGGTATAGAATTTATCTAATAATCATACCGGTGCAATGTTTAAAAAAATTTTTTTTTTTTAAATTAATTAAACATACTCTGGACTGAAATTTGCTAGGCAACCCATATGGATTATATTTTTTGACATATTAAATTATATATAAAATAAGTTTCATTAAATAAGCATCTCGGTGAAGGTCGTTGTATAGCGGGATCTTAGACCATAAAAGAGATATCTATTAAAAAGATGATATGCCGTTGTGTAAGTGTTACGGGTTGAATGAATACAAGACAACATACCTACTAGAAGTTCGCAAAATACAATTTTAAATATATATAATATTATTGTTTTTTTATAATTTTGATGTTTTGATTATAACTTCTTTATTTCAATTTTTTAGGAGGGTAGGCGCTAACAAAGTCGTATCGTGTTCTGTCTGTTAAAGTTTTATAAAATATTTTAAATATTAAAGGTTGAAAAGTAGATATCCCTGTACCCCTACACCATAAATCCATGAAAGTTTTGTCCCATGCACCTATACCACAAATCAAGAGAAATTCAAAATAATAGAGACGCTTTTGAAATCAAGTTTTACCATCAAAAGAGGGTCTGGAGATAACACAACATCTGGATTGGTTGAAATTTAAACAAATAACAAAAAAATTAAACGCTCAAGCAGTGAAATCTAAGTGACAGAATATATAAGTGGTTAGTTTGAGTTCGAACATTACCACGGAGAGAATTTTATTGAAATTTCCTAGTCAGTTCAACAACAAAAAGACACAGCAGAAAGTAGACTCGGATATCCCCCAGTAAAAAGGTCAAGAACGATATTGCCTATATTAAGACAAGCTATTATTATATCGTCCCAGAATTATTTTAAAATTCTGAAGTCCTTAAAAATCGTTAAATTCTCAACAGATCATAACAACACCTATTTTTAATCAGATAGTCTTTAAACTAAAATGGCAATGGACCGGTCATGTAATACGATACCTAGACAATAGCTGAACATATAAGACAACACGGTGGAAGGAACCTCCCGGATGAAGAAGAGTGGGCAGGCCAAGGCCCGTTGACTCATGACTTGATAGACTGACAGACTCAATAACTCTCTCTGCTCTATTGTTGCCAATGCAAAGATAAGATAATAGACCCAAGAGGGGTCCACAGTTGACTAACATGTTACTACTAACATTTAGCGAAAAGTACTACAACATTTGAAATGGAACTTGGAAGATATGGAAATAAAAAAGGTTTGTATTAATTTCGGTTTACAAAAATGTTTACTTTGTTACACTTTTAAATGTACTTTTACAATAATACACAAGCATAACATTACGCAACTAATAAATGCTAATCATAAACAGTCAATGCCTAGCTTTTATGTGCTGTTTCAATACAAGTACTACTTACAAATAGCCATTCTATCATACCTAATTGGTATGTCCATAGAAAAGCAAAGTCTGAACCATGTTATTTTTAATAATGTCCGCGTTTGGAAAAAGCTTTAACCAAATTATATACACAAAAATGAACGTTAAAAATGGATATGTTATTTTTTATGGAACAGAAGGCAAATGAGACACCTGCAATTGGAGATATCCAAGTGCGTTGCCTTTTAATTTCAATAAGTATTGTGTAACCTCAGCTTAGATTTAACTGGATAAGTAGTAAATTAAATGTCTGTTTAAGAGCAAAAGAACAGAGCAAAGCTACGAATGCTTCGTATGAAGTTTTTAAAGAATCTTCCATGTCCTCACAAATGTGAAAAATCTTATTGAGTGATTGTTTGATAAGTATCTAGCGACACACATTATACTCTTCCGGTATTATTTATTTATTCCGTTACTGCAACTACAGCTAAAAGAATTTTGATAAAAGTTCATATTGAAACATAATATCCACGGTGCTGCCGTTGCGAAATGGGATTTCATACAAAATCACGTAAACTATATTCCCGACACAATGTATTTTCATATGTATAGAAAACTTGGATACAAATTCGAAATGCAGTAGGGATGTATCGGTATTTCAAATTGGTAATGAAATCCCATCAATAGCAAATTCCAGAGCCATTACGTATATTAACCACTAAATTATTTAAAAAAATCAGTGCCACTGCAACCTCTTTGCGGTCTTGGCCTCAGATCTGTTTCATGTTCATTTTTAAATCTAATAGGCAAGTAGGCGATCAGCCTCCAGTGCCTGACACACGCCGTCGACTTTTGGGGTCTAAGACATGTTGGTTTCCTCACGATGTTTTCCTTCACCGTTCAAGCAAATGTTAAATGCGCTCATAGAAAGTCCATTGGTGCACAGCTGGGGATCGAACCTACGAACTCAGGGATGAGAGTCGCACGCTGAAGCCACTAGGCCAACACTAAATTATTATCATAGATAATTTTTTACTCTATCAGGATTAAATGTTATTTTATTTTCAGCTCAAAAAGCTGTTTAAATATTTAATTAACACCGTTGTGTTAACTCACAAAATATTTAACATTGGTTTTTTAAATTCATAGTGAATCATTTATCCCAATTGGCAGCGTCGGACGCCATTAAACTTAATATTGGTGGAGCTTCGCGTCCTCTAAAACAAATATTTATTCGTTAGCGCTTTTCATGCCTCTATGTTTTTTTATTTAAACCCAACATTTACTTCAATTGTATTCAAAACACGAGCATCGCTTTAATTGGACATGTTTTAGGTCGTATTTTCTTTTAAATAGTAGTCTGGGAAAGTTCACTGTAAGATACTACCGAGTATTTATGATCTTGTAAAACATGAATTTCGACGACAATGCTGAGTTTTTTAAATCATATTCAACGATTATGGCTTATATCGGACTGACTGGTCTGGATATATTTAATCAAAAGGATAAAGTTCAGTTTAAGATTAAATATTTTTATGTTTTTTATTTCTTTTGTCACATTACATCTATGCTGTGCCATTGGATGTATGTTGTTAGGGAATTCTCGAATGGGACCAAATTGCTGGAGATACCAATTGATTTCTCATATTGCAACAATAATTTGGAAGGTATGTATACAATTGTAAACGAACATTATAAGTGTCGCGAATCTTGCAATTTTTTTTATATTTTAGTTTTATTAGACATTTAAGACGCTTTAAGTTCGCTATTAGGTCAATCAAGTAGCTGATAAAGCAGCTGTGTTTGAAAACGGAGTTGATTATTAAAATAAACTGCATTAATTAACAGCTCTTTGCGGCATGTATCTTAAAGGTATCGTAGCAACTTCTGTGTGCAATTGTGTTTTCACAATTTTCAGGTCAAATTAATTGTAGTAGTTACGTCGTATAAAGGTAGACAAAATTCTAAAACAATACTGTTATTTCTATAACAAATATAATACAATAATAATAACGTAGCCCACTTTATAAAAAATACTGCATTATACTCACGATTATTATTTGACCAGTATTCTAACTCAAAGTAGAATATAGTTTAAGTAACGTTCAAACAATTATATGACGACTTTTACAGTGCTAATTGGAATTCGGAGTGGAATTGTTTAGTGGAACAATTTTTATAATATCTATGCACCTACATGTGTTACGTCTATGGTATAAAAAAAATTCAGTCAGTGCTATTATTTTATATATAGTTATATTGCTATTTATTGTGGTCCTTCGATCCGGAATATAGTGAATTAAGTTATTAATTACTTAATACAGTTCGTCCTTTGTAATTCCACCTGTGTTATGTGTATGAGATTTGTATATTTCTGTTTCAGCGCTCTTGATATTCATTCAACTATTTATAAAAAAGGAAAAAATAAAAGAGTTTGTATTCAAAATGGAAAAAGAATGGCGGCGCGATGAAGATTTGTCATCAAAACTAACTAGTGTAAAGCGGAAATTGGTTAAACAAACCGATCTTTATATTAAAAGTATTTATAAAGTTTATTTTTTCAATTATCTCGAAAAATTAGAAACGAAAAAAATTAACGGTGGTGTAACGCAGTTTGGTTGTGATTGGACTGCCGGTCAGTGGTTAGAAAGGTCGAGACACAGTGTCCAACCTAAAGGATACTGTTCCCCCGTATTACGCGGAATAGTACATCCAATTGGTCAATCTATTGTGTACAAACATTGGTCCAATTACAATCAAACGTCTTTCGTGCGTAACGCAACTTATGTAGACATACTCGTATATTTTCTTAACTAGATTGACAGTAAATGAGCAAAAAAGCCTAGCCATTAATCTGATAACTTAACAATTTAAATATGAGTCAGTTAATTATAATATATACATAATTTTGTGTTCAATAAAAGTCTAAGTATCAATATTATTGAGCGAAATTAAATTAGAAGTTAATATTCTTATCTTTTCTTCTTTTGGTGCCTCTGCATTAATGGAGGTTGGTTCGTCAGATGATCAATTATAAGTTATCTTTATTAGCATGTAAGTTTCTTTCTGTGTAAAACAATTTTTTATTTTTTCCAAACTCGAATATAGGGCCTTCGAATGCAAAGGTGTAAAATCTTTATTTTTGTTTGTTGTTTGTTTACTGGATTTTAAATTTAGAATAGCCTACTACTTTTCATAAGTAAAACTGCAGGTCATAAAGATCAATCATCTTACGCATTATCATTTGATTGTTCCAGTTTCCTGTTTATCAATATCCATTGTTTGCAGTATATATTTACTAAACCCGCTGTTTATGGTCTTAGTAAACAAGTTCATTCTTCATAGGAACGTGTCTCATACCGTTGCATTAGGATTAGCCACCCCATTTAACTACGAAGATAACTTTCTCAGTTATATTTTGCTGGTTATTGTTGAGTATCGATTGGGTATGTTTGTTTACGTAATGTGTTTACCACGAACTTTAAGATAGTTTCATCAAGTATCTGAATACGTCAATACTCTTAGATTTAGATACAAGAAATTCCATACAATTTGCATAGACAATTCAATTCGATTTGAGTGTTGCATTTTCGTGCTTCAAAGTTAGATATATCTACTGAACGCTACTTAGTTTTTCCTTACATCAGTGTAACAGTATGATAACCACTCAATTTTATTAGCACATTAACTATTGTTTAAAATTTACTTGAATCGCATCTAAGTACTACTTGGTAATCTTCTTGTGTGCTTAAGAGGGTTTAAATAAATCTATGAAAATGCCCGTGTAAATATAAATGCCTGTCTGTCTATTTAAATCTGTCCTATGCTGGAGCCGTAAGTATTCTTCTTGTGCAATAGTATTTTTTTTTTATGGCTCTGGCACGATTTTTTATAATACGTGCTTGTCTTTAGAAATTCGACCGTGTCCTCCATGTACGGTTTAGGCACTCGCCCGGTACCGCACAACCCTCCCAAAGGCCGAGAACAAATTTAAATTATTTAATTAAATTAAATTAAAACTTGCCCTCGAACCGGGAATCGAACCCGGTACCCCTCACCTAGCTGCCACTTAATAAGACCGCTGGGCTATGAGGCCCCCAATAGTAATTTAAATCTAAATTTGTACGTGTTATGTAGAATTCATTACGTCAAGTAAAAAAATCATTGATATGTCAAATGGAAGAGACTAGCTTCCCACAGTTTTTTCTTTCTTTATTTTTTTGAATCCTATTTATGGAACTTACATATACAATTTCAACAGCCATGATAGTAGCCTACGAGTTGCAGTGTAGTCAATACTTCATAACAATATCTATGGACCATTTAAGAGTCTTGTTCATTCTAATACAAGACGAATTTAAGGAAGTCATTTGTTTGCCGAACGATGCAAATAAAGAGAAAAGGTTCAAAGAAACAATACAACGACATTCCAGGTTATTGGAGTAAGTACTCTTAAGCTGATAGCTACATACAAAATTCTACATAAACAAATATTAGTTATCTTAGCGACTTTCCTAGTATCACTGGTTGCTTTGGGGGATTTTAGTTTTTATCTGGCAATAACATAATATAACGATGTAACTAATAAAATCGTATTATTTGGTAGTATAGAAAAATGTTTCCAGAAATTAAGACGGAACAGTCTGAAGTACAATTAGAGGACACAAAAATAGTTGAACAACATTTATTTATAAAACAACAAAAAAATAATTTCAATTTAAGTGTTTAGGGGCTGCTTATAAGAGTTTAATGAACAAATCACTTATATCACTAAAGTTTAGAATATTTAAGTTTAATTTTCTCTTTGCAGATTGCTTTGGGATCTGAACGGAACATTTGGTTGTCTATTCGCAATAAATTATATTTTCCTATCATCTACCATTTGTTTTTGTGTTATATCAGCATGCGTAAGTACAACAAATTAGGCATAGGCTAGTAAATCACTCAAATTAATAACATTCATATGATACTTAAATCGAAAATAATTGGACATAATCATCATCTGAACCTATTACCACATGCTTCTATGCTTTTTTCATTAAAAATCCGTCATAGTAATTAAAAATACTATCTCGTAAAAGTATTACAATTATCTAGGTTTTCTTTAAAAAAAGGTCTCGAAATTCGACCTAATCATTGTGTAATCTTTCCGGACGACTAATGTATTTTATTGGAAGCGACTAGATTGTCCAAAAATTATTACCAAATATATTAGGCCGCAATAGCTTGTGCTACGCCGTAGCACCTTTGTCATCTGAGAACATTGAAGTTTCAATATCGAAATCAGACAATATAGAATAGATGACAACAAAGCTTTGATACTTTAGCTTTATATTATAAACTTTCAATAACGTTAGGAAACATTGTTGCAAGTAGGTGTGCTGTGTCTGTGCCCTCGACTTTTTGTATCTAAGGTATGCCGATATCCTTCACCGTACTAGCGAGTGTTATTAAAGCATTCATACAGAGTCCATTGGTACAGCCGGGGTTTAAACACGCATTGCGAATATATAATCGGAATTGAACGAAAAACGCACATAGTGTTTAACGTCGAGATTTGGATTCTATTAAATATCTATCTTATCTTAGAGCAGTGTTGGCCTAGTGGCTTCAGCGTGCGACTCTCATACCTGAGGTCGTAGGTTCGATCCCCGGCTGTGCACCAATGGACTTTCTTTCTATGTGTGCATTTAGCATTTGCTCGAACGGTGAAGTAAAACATCGTGAGGGTCGGTTTCCTAAGTGTCTTAAACCTAAAAAAGTCGACGGCGTGTGTCAGGCACTGGAGGCTAATCACCTACTATTAGATTTAAAAATGATCTCTGAAATCTGAGGCCAAGACCTAAAGAGGTTATAGCGCCACTAATTTGTTTTTAAATATCTATCTTAAGTGCCATTACGTGTAGTACACGTATAGTATAAAAATTAATGTTTGCAGAAAATAAATCAATAACTAATAAACATCTCAATCGTACAATATACCTTAGAATTTATTATTTTATTTTATCCGTTTTAAAGCCTAGTTTTCAAGTAAATTAGGTTAGACTTAAATTACTTATTAGTCTTAAGTTAGGCTAGATCGTAATGTTAAGCTGATAGGGCTCTGCTGTTACCGCATCCCGCCTAAGGCGATTGTTGGTGGCGCCTTGGGGTTTTAGTGGGTATGCACAATCGCGAGTCCCACATAACCCTCCCGCACTAAGCAAACGCACCGCGGTAGGGTATGCGCAATGCATTTCCCCAAGTAAAAAAAAAAAGATCGTAATGTTCCATGATGTCTTATTGAAGACACATGTATAAAAAAAAGCCTAGTTTAAATCCTAGCATACTCTTTTAGCTCATTATTCATTAATGAAGTACTGATAAATAAATATAAGTGATATCATTTAAAAGAATAAGATAGCTCATTAAAATTTCATATCATGTTGCAGACGGATGGCAGCTTGGAGGATTTAAAAACACTCTGTATTTCCATTCTTGTCATCGTCAACGTGTTTTACTGTTGCAGAGGTGGTGAATATTTAGTTAATTCGGTGAGCAATGTCATGTTAAAGATATATTACGATCTATATAATATTTTGTTGTTTGCATAGATGCACGTGAGCCCAATTTGATTACATGTAATTACAAATGGTAGCTTAAATATACACCTCGGATGGAAATAGATGAAAAAGGAGACAATAAAAGACGAGTGGTGCCTACTTCTTTACTAATAGATATATATATGTCAGAGAATAGGTAAATAGAACACGATGTAATTTGTTTTATTACAATGGCAACACCACGCAATATCATAGACATCTTACAGGTTGTAAAATGTCAATGTGTCAATTGTCAAAGTAAATTTGTCAGTAGTGCGTAGAATCGGGTCGTCAAGTGCTTGAGTTGCTTTCCGATCGGCGCCTGCGCCGGACGTGCGCACTGACTGTGTTTAAATATTAAGTAATAATGTCGGACGACGGTAGTGATACTAACTTTGTAATTATTTTTCGCGTTGAATCTGCGACATATGTATAATATATGTTGTTTTAACAATATATTTATTTCGTGCATGCACTGAGTTTGTGGCTTATATGATCAAACAAAATCGCTTCATTTTGCCCGTATATAAAATTGTTTTAGGTTTTTTCTTCATTTGTACTCACCATTAGGTAGACATTTTAGCGTCTCCGGTATATCACTCCTAAGTATTGCTGCAGTAATGGTTGCGTTCTAAATTTTATTTTATTTCCTACGCTTTTTGATTTTATTAGAGATTGTAAAGGTAAATAAATAACTATCTATTTAGTTTTATCCTTAATACTTATTGGCCACAAATTATAAGAGATAAGGACTAAGTGTAAGCTATCACACAACAGATCTTAGTATAATATCTGTAAAGTTTAAATTTATATATATCTATAAAGTTTAAATTTGATATATATTTTCAGGCGTCAGAAGTTTCTACCGCCATATATGATGCACCGTGGTATGAATTACCGAACCAGTACAGGAAAGATCTAATATTTATAATTTCAAGGTGATTTGATATCCTATATATATATTATATTATTTTAGGAGTGTTATTTATTTATTTTAACTATAAAAAGTATATAATTATTTACTTCGTTACATTAATAGAAGAACAAATACATAACAATTATAAGGGATGCAACGGGCGGCCTTATCACAAACAAGCGATCTCTTCCAGGCAACCCTAAAAAAAATTTATCACCAAGCTTAATCTAAAGTAATACAAAAAAATGTAATAAAATAAACCAAATACTAAAAAGCTATTCTCACGGAGTCAAGAATTGCGATGCAATTCAATAGAATAAGAAATACAAGAATTACAAAAGTCACGATTGAGCAGGGTAGGATATGGTTACGAAATGTTGATGTAGAAGTGTTTTAAAAGATGTTAGGGAGGTAGCCAATCGTATGGAGTCAGACAGTCTATTCCACAACTTAATGGCGAAGATCCTAAACGAATTGCCTAAGAAGGATGAGCTGTGAGGTGGAATTTCCAAATAGCATATATTAGAGAAGTTTTATCAATTGATAGATTCGGATTCAAGACCTAAATGTTAAATTAAGTAAAATTGGACATCGTCTTGTCAATCTAGGAAGCAGAGATAACTTATATAATATGTTGTATAAGTTAGAGATATCTCTAATACATACCTCGAAATCCATCTTGTAGGTTTTATTACTGAAATTCATTTGCAAATTGTCAGTTACACGATAATCAATACAGCGAAATTCAGAGAAATCAACGTTATTATCGCATATTCAAAATTTCATTCAAAGTCCTGCTGTAAAACCGATAGACTTTATACAAGTATAAAGCGTATATATGTACAGAAACACATAATTAGGTTGTGTGTAGATTTCTGTGTTATTTGTTTAATTACTTTTATTTATTATTTATTGTGTCTTTGTATTATTTTATCGATTATCGATGTTTGTATTATTTATTTAAGAGATTAATTATAGCTATATACATTTTTATGTGTAAAAAATGTAAAAGTTGTAACAGATATACAACTCTGACACAGGTATTTTTGAAGTTATACTAATTCTTTTAGCGCGTTAGGGAAATATTATGAGAGTATTTTTTTACGATGCGCGCGTACATCGCCACAAAACACCGACATCCTGAATATCTGTGCAAACGTCGGTAAAACAGTCTGGGCCGCTAGTTGGTGCTTGCTCTGTTTTATCGACAAGTTGCATTGTCTGTCGTGGTGTAGTATTTTTCAGAGTCGTGTTAATTTAAAGCAAAATAATGATTTCTATACGAGAAAATTCTTTTGTAATATGATAAAAAACATAGTGTTTATTGTAAAATATCATGATGAGTACATATTATATAGTTTCGATTGGAAGTGACCATTAAAATTCACAAGAAAAATGCAATTTGAAGAGGGAAACGTCCCTCTAAAGTGCACCAAGAAAAATTATTACGCCAAAGAAGTGTACATAACACGTTTTTTTTTTACTTAAAAAGGTTCCCAAATCTTACATTATAATGAACATAACCATAGATTAGGGATTCCTTCAATTTTATTGTGTGTTACACATTTAGAATCGCATTTTTATGCTTCCAAAATAAATAAATAAAAATTAACCACAGAGAATCTATTTTGTTTACCTCGTAAGCCATATTAAATTCGGTATGGCATGCCGAGCGGGTCGCGGGTCGCACTGCTTTGCATAGTTAAACGGCAGTTTATCCACTTTTCGCCATTACTGCACTGAATTTACACAATTTATATTGATCTGTAGCTTTTGCCATGAATTTCAGTTAGCTTGAAATTAAGTAGTCCTTTTCTATAAATAAATACTTTATAGTTAGTAAAAATTACTTACAATGTTAAAAGACTTCATCATTGCTTAGTTGCTAAGTCAATGACGTCAGACACGTCGGGATAGTTTTAAATTAACTATAAACGGAAACATAAAATTTTGTTTTTTAATGAGATTTTGAATCAAGTGGTGGACACTAGCAATGCCGGGCGGCTTGCGTGTGTGCCGGTACCAACCTTTGAGAGCACTTATTGAAAAAATATTTAACTATTATTTTATGTAAATAAGAATCATCCTAATATATATCAATCAGTTGTTCAAGGTTAATGAATCTTATTGAAAAAAGTGCAATAACTAATGTTTCTATAAAATTTATACTTTTTGAATTTCATTTATGTAATTTTATTAAAGTATGGAAACTGAAATTCAATGTCATTGACTCTCCAGGATTTTTATTAAATAGTTTTAATTTCTCTTAAAGATGGTCTTAATTCTAGAGTACCACATTCTACGTTGCCTTTAGAAAAAAAGTTATGTATACTTTAAATTTAAAATGAATTG